ACTCAATGAACATTGAAATTTGCGCAAAACAGGTAAGTACGCCACGAATCCACCACCCAAGCAGCGATACAAGCAGCGAGGTATGTCACGCCATCAACTGGATTCCCTGCTTGCTAAATTCGCATGGTGATACAAGCTCGGAGAGGGGAATTGTTATGTACCAGAGCGGATGCAGAGAAGCCTTTATCCGAGAGAGAGCCAGCCAGAAGAATGAGAAGTGTATGACTGTCACAACTATATATACAGGGTGTCCCAAAAAGATGTGCACACTGTTTGATCATTAATAACTCTCTTGCTTTCATGTCTTTTGCCGAGCTTAAGGTAAAATTCTGTAGAGCAAGGGCAAAGTTAGTTTTACAGTATGTAGCAAATGACCAATCACTTTTCGTTACTGTAGGACCACGGTATGAATTTTCAGCATACAGCATCACTGTGGAATAAGCCTTTTGATGAAATAATTTCGAAAAATTCTAAAAATTTCTGTAGCAAGATTTTAGGCGTGCTGATTTCACTACACAAATTTCTACCAGTTTGCTTTCTTGATGGAGTATTCACATTTCTGACGAATATTGAAGAATCAGTTGTTACCCTAAATGTAAAATACTCAGGAAAGAAACACTGTACTGAAGCGCAATTTTCATATTTAGAATCAGCGACTTCGATTAACCCAGTTTAAGAGCTTCTGGCTTGTTTGGTTTTCTTTCTGAGGTAAAATACCGGTTTCAATGGCTCAAAATCCTCCTCGATGTTCCTATCGTAATCCTACAGTAATGAGGAGCGGCTGATAATTCGCTCCATACTGTAAATCTAAGTCAACCTCGCTCTAAAGATTGGTACCTCAAGCTTGGTAAAAGACATGAAAGTAAGAGAGTTATTAACGATCAAACAGTATGCACATCTTTTTGGGACACCTTGTATATATATGACTTGTTGACATAAACACTAGGATATTGTATCATATCATTGAGCACATCATTCCTCAACACCTCCCTCCTAAGACAAAAAATATCTATATGTCTTCTTCTCAGGATTAGCATGTAGTTGATCAGGCTGCTTTCGGTGTCGAACTGGATACTTCTCAGAAGTTGATGGTTTCTTCGGTGCTGGTGACAGTGCGGATAATATAGGCTCTTGACTCAGCATATCTGTAACGAAGTATTGGCTTCCTGTTTTTCTTCTAGATGTATGTTCGTTTCTTCTTTGGCCTTCACTGCACTTCAGATTTTCACTGCGCATCTGATTGGCATGTCTTCTCCAAAGAAGCTTATCTTCAGTCTCCGCATCGTATAGAAGTTTTACTTCTTCCGTTAGTTGTTCATTCAATGGCGTAGGCTTCATTCTGACTGGTCGTCTCAAGAACGATTTATCTGGAGACCGGCTTACAGGTGGCAAGGCATTTGAAGTTGGCCGATTCTTCTTGACATTCGGAACAGCTTCTTTTAGGAATGACTTCGCTTTGGCTTTTGAGCGTCATTGCAATATGCAGCCAAACTTTCTCGAAGATTTCTTTGAATCCAAGACGACTTGTGACACTTTGAAATCTTCTTTCTTTACTGAAGGGCAGTGGTATTTATCTTTCAACTTCTTGTATGCAGGTAGTTGAATGCACCACTCTAGACTGAGTAGATTTGTGTTGGCAACGTAGCAGTATCCTTCACCATGGATAAGCTTGTTTCCTTCGATCCGCCACGGCGAATTTAGTATAAAATCTTCCAACAGTTTTCATTGGTGAACCATCTGCCGTTCTCACTAGCAGAGAGCAAGGTTCCAAATTAGGCGATCCGAGCATCTTCCATCGTCGTGGGGATATCATTGTGATATCAGAACCAGTGTCGAGTTGGAAGGGTAGAAAACGCCCTTTCATTTTGAGATTGACGTATGTACGAGCGGCTTGTGCTATGGAGCTAATGGAGTTCTTGTTCTTGCGGTTATTGCTGCAGTAAGTCCTTTTCTTTCGTACATTATGTTCTGCTTGTTCAGCTCCGGAAGGCGGGTTTGGGTATCTTTTTAGACTTGGTTCTCCACTTTTTGAGTTTCTTAAGCTCGCTTTTCGTACTGCTTGTACCGCGTACTGTCTTTCCATGTCTGCGTTGTCGTTGTTCAACGCTGTGAGATTCTCGCACTCATTGACTAGTTCTTCAATAGTCAATGGTCCATCCTTGTGCAAGTCTAGCCGCTGGAGCATCTTTAAGCGAATATCTCTCAGAGAAGGATCCTGGAGTCCTGCGACATACTGCAGTGTCTTCAGACCATTGCAGTCCAACTCTTTCATCTGCGCCTCCTCATCCATGCCTTTGATCCGATTCGCGTATTCGCGAAAAGGAGTGTGTCCTGCCGTGAGCGACGGACAATCTATTTCAAGGCACTCGTACCTTCTTCGTACGAGTGTCTTCTTGGACGCGAACAGGGTCGCCAACTTGGCGGCTGTCGTCTCGAAGTCCACTTCATGTGGTTTCGATGGGAGGATATCGTCTGCGTATCTGCGGTATGCTTCTTCGCTCATCTTCGTCAAAATGAGGTCTCTCTTTCTGTCATTGGGCATTTCGGCCTGCCTGATCATGGGGCCGTACCTGCTAAACCAGTAAAAAAAATGTCGTACCTGATTCCTCGTCAGGCACGAAGTTCGCCACGTCTCTGGTTAGCTGGTCGTGGGCTTCTTTCCTTCTATCCGGATCTTGGTTGTACTGGACGGTCTTAAACAGCAACATAGTTTCTTCATGCTGCGCACGCATCGCTTCTTGCAGCATCCTCGTTTGTTCTTCGTGTCAAGCCTCCATCTTCTCTTGTTGTATCCTCATCTGCTCTATTAGAGCAGTGATGAGGCTGCCATCCAGCGAGTTCTGACATCCTTGATCTGGAGCGTTCAGCTGTCCTTGTTGAACGTTCGGCTGTTCTCGGCATAGTGAGCTTCGTCCCTGATCGCCACTGTTATGTACCAGAGCGGATGCAGAGAAGCCTTTATCCGAGAGAGAGCCAGCCAGAAGAATGAGAAGTGTATGACTGTCACAACTATATATATGACTTGTTGACATAAACACTAGGATATTGTATCATATCATTGAGCACAGCATTCCTCAACAGAAATATTCGGTTGTAAAGAAAGTTCCCGGGCACACTTTTGTAAATTTCATTTTCTGACGCATTTTTTTGACGCTCGATTGGACTTTGAAACCAAGGTTCTTATAATGTTTAGTAGAGAGAAGCCTAAATTTTCAAAACCGCATCTGATCTTTATCGATGCTAAAACGTGTTTGGTCTGCACATCAAACAAGGAAATCTTTCCAACTACAAAAATTACACAAATTGTTCCTGCGGCCATTTTCTTGTGCAGTTCAAAGAATTTCGTCTAAATAGTGGGTGATCTGATTAAGGAGCCTGCTCACCGCTTATCCGTAGCTACTCTCGAGATTTGCTATTTGCGCTCAGAAATTACAAGCTGTCGAACTTGCCTTTGACTGCGAGTCTTTTCGCAACTGACGTCGCTTCTGCGGGAATCGCCACGCCTGGATGATGGGTCCAAAAGATGTATAAAGCATTACCTTAAAAACGTTTGCAGCAATCAAAAATTTGGTTTGCCCTGTGCGGAACAAGAAGACTTCAAAGTCACTTATTCGAAAATTGGTGCATTTTTGGGACCAAAATCTCTTTTGGACCCATCATCCAGATTTTTCAAACTTTCTGGAAGAACTTTTTCTGCAGGTAGTTGCTCAAAGGCGTTAATAGTCCCCATGACAGGCCAGCAGACCTCTATATAACTACAGCATCTGAGCTCGCCAGCTCTCAGCATGCCTGAGATAATCCTGCACAAATAAGCCATTTTTGGCTTCGACCTTCTTCTCTTCTGCCATGCTGGTGGACCGCAGTCTTTGCAATGAAGTTCAAAGCTTTGAAGAAGAATCAATCTGCTTGAAGTTATAGCGATTTAAAAAATCTCGCGGAACTTTCCTTACGACCTAATATTTCTAGAAACGTAGTTGATTGTGATCAAGATGTTTTAAAAGCTTTGAACTGATTTGCTTTTGACAACAACTGAACGGCTTCAAGTTATCTCGGATACTCTTGTTCATGCCACATGGCAGGTAGAAAGCTCTCATAAAAACTACAAAAACTTTTTCTAAACTCAAAACACTTTATGAGAAATCCTTGAAGGATTGGCCGGCTAACAAAAAAGTAATTATCACCCAAATTCCCTTCGTTATCTGCTTTGAACGACCACTATTTTTTCTTGCTTGATGAAATTAGATTCGCTTGACGTCTTATTAGAGCTAAAACTAAGTCCGTACACACATGTAAAAGCTGCTGAACACACGCCTACATTGCGTGTGAATTACTCTTTCTTTGAATGCTGGCAATATAGTAAAGGAGCTTTTCGTTAATATCCAATGTTTTTATAGGGATGAACGACGAAGCTCCGCTCTGAAAAGATAAAGCTTTCAAGAAAATTGACGCTACAGAAGAGTATAAAATTACATAGTAAGGTTTTCAAAACCTAAAGTTCTTGAAAAGCTACCACAAGTGCGGCAAACGTAGAGCAATTGCCATGAACATGCTTCACGAAGACCTAAAATTGCAGAACTGACAAATTTCCATTTTGAACAGCTGAGGTATGAAAAAAGTTTGTGTCAATAAGTCGTCTACTGCAATTGTACTTTCTCTATTTAATTCCGTTACTTTTCCTTCACTCTTTGTGATTCAATAGAAAGAAACAGCTGCGTTATCAGAAATGCGATTGTTTCTTTGTAACAGTTTCACATTTGAGGTGGTACAGCTTTCGTTTTGCCCGGAAAGGTGGGAAAGTACGTCTAGAAGCCAAATTTCAAAAGAAATTTGGTCTATCAAGCTTTACTTCAAAAATGTATCTTCTTCTATAGAACTAAAGTGGTGAGTATCTCTCTAGAAATTTTTTTATACAAGCGTAAATTTTTTTTTCGGTGGTCACTGCATCGTCAGGTACGCATCGCATTTTACGCGAATCATGCTGGAAAGAATTAAATTTTTTCAGCCATTTGCCCAGCAAATAACGGCATGAACGACACTATACGTCAAAGGTTCTTGGATGTTCACAACGAGTTGAGGTAAGTGCATGGGAATTCATGGTATCTAAGACTTGATTGCATTTATCGCTTACCAATCACCAGTGCTTCACCATTGCTTCGCAGAATCTCGCACTGATTTTATAATCATTATGCCTTTCGCCTCACACTCGCATAGTGATGACTTTCGAACTAATTGTACAATGCTGAACAACACAAGATCAAAAAGAAAAAATTGTTTATTTTTCAAGCTTGTTCATGTGAAATCAGCAGCTTTAGAAAAGATGGACTTCTGCAGAAGAACAAATGCGCCAAGTGAAACGGAATTTTTTTCCTTGACTTGATAGCCAGTAAGGACTATAACAACCGTGCACTGCATCTTTAAGCAAGAATTTTTTTGAATTTTTAGGGTAAAATATTGACAAATCAACCATCTACGCAATTATTTTTTGGCTCTGCTTGCTCAAAAAACTTCTTGATCAATTTTTGGCCTAAAAATGTCTTTCAGAGTTTAACGCAAAATCCATGAAATCACAAAAAGCCCTAATAGCGGCCTGATTTTACCAGCCAAAAGCTGCGTGTACCAGGTTGATGCGCGAATTTGAATCCGAGTATTGCCCCGTCTCGTCTTTGTGAGTGCACGTACATGCTGGTATGGTAGGTTGCCAAAAGAAACACGGCCCTAACACTTTATTATTGAAGGGTGATCATTTATCTGTCACATAACATTTATCTTCAGAGCGCAGGTAGCTTCTGGACAAGCTAAAGACGGCCTTGGAGGTTATGCGCCACAAGCTGCGGCCATGCCTAAGCTTGTACTATTCTTTATCAGCTCTAATCACAATCGCATTGAAACAACTGTTGTTGCAGACGTATGACTGCAATGTTGAAAAGTACGCAATTGCCCACGCAGCTAAAGCCAACTTGAGCATTCAACCCGTGAGTCAAGAGGAAACACTGGAGAAAACATTTACATGAGAAGCCCCGCTTACGACGAAGTTAAGGTCGTCGAAGATGTAAGCTGCATAAAATTTTTTCTGGAAGAAAAATCAGCCTGTTTAGTCTTCGAGATCGTGGTTCAGCGAGCTCGCAGAGTTTGGCGTAAGGACTGACCTTATACTGGATGATGCACTATGGGATAGAGGAGTTGGCCACTACACACAGGTTAGTAGTACTGCAATCCTTCACCCAGTGATTTTCGTAGATCGGCGTCAGCCTCTAAAACTACAATCCAAATTCACACTGCTTTAGATGGTATGGCAGTCTACGACAGCCATTGGTTGTGCAGTTCAAAGCTGCCCTACCATGTCCTTCGTCGTCTGCAATTATAGTCCACCGTGAGTGGAAATGCTTGTTAGCGCATCAGGAAAGCAAATTTTCAGCGGCAATATGATAGATGGTAAATTGTACGAAAAGGGAACTCCATGCTCAAAGTGTCCTCGTGGTTGCTCAAACAATCTTTGCGTGGATGAAAAGCCATCAGAAGCACCAGAACAAACAACATTGATGCCTCAAGGGCCATCAGAAGCACCAGTAACAACGACAGTGGTGCCTCAAGGAACAGAAGCACCAAAACCAGCAGTGCCAAAACCAGCATCTACGAAGTCCAAAAACAAGAAAAAGAAGAATAAGAAGAATAACAAGCAGAAGAACAAGAAGAACAACAAGAACAACAACAAGAAGAACAAGAAGAACAACAAGAAGAAGAACAAGAAGAACAACAAGAAGAAGAATTAGACGGAAGACTAAATGTGCAATGGAACAGGAATAAAGGTGTTTAACATCAAAATCGCAATTGATCAATGAGCAGACTTTCTTGCTTTAGTTTTCTTTGAAAAAAGAGTTTTTACCAATGCTGCACATGTGAGTGTAGACCTGTGGCCGTATACATCAACGAATCCTGAGAGTAGGTTCTGAGGGTAGGGTTTACCCTCAGGGTTCTTGCCTACTCATCAGCGAACCTAGAGTAAGGTTTATCCCGGAAAGCGATTAACCCGTAATCAGCAAACCTTGAGGGTAACCCGTTGAGAATGGACCTTATTCCAAAAAGCGATCAACCCATATTCACGTACGTAGCTCATATTAGGAGGCTAGCGTGGCTCATTCTCTACCCTGCACCGACTGTGAGCGGTTGTTTTCAGGTTAGCTTTCAGTTTTTCCTCTTATTTAGTCAAATTCTACTCTCTTGCTCTGCTATCCCTCTTTTCCTTCTTATTTGCCGTACTTTTCGCCAAAGTGCTTATTCCTTGCTAGGTGTCAATTAGAGTTTTGAGCCCTGAGACCTGATTTCAGTTTTCCGACTAATTTGCATGCCAATCGATATCTTTGTTCTATGGTACTTCCCGCCTTGTTGCAGTACTTCCATCGACATGCCTCCCAAAACTGCAATGCCTCTCAAATCTTTAAGGTCACGCAATACTCCAAAATCGGCTGATCCTGTCCCTCAGCCACAACACGTCATGGATTCTAGTGCATCGCAGATTCGCAATTTTAGGCGTCGCAACTTCTCGCCTCGCTTTCGCCTCACAGCACTCAAATGATTCTCGTACCGAATCAATTGTTCAGTCATTCAAAAAACTCTTAGATCTTAATATCCCTGAGTTGCAAACAATTACAAATGAGATTCTCGTGAGGCTTGGAGAGTTTGGCAAGACTGTGATCGAGGCAGATTGTAGGTCTAGAAGCATCCTTATAGCAGGCCTCCCTGAGCTTAGGGGGGATGGGCGCACCGAACCAACTGTTTCGGTGCGTCAAGAGGATACAGAGAAAAAAGTTCGTGAGGTGTTAGAGTTCCTGATCTGGAGTGTTGGCCTGGCAAGATCTTTCGAATGGGGAGGAAGACGGCTAGTATGCTGCGCTTGGTAAAAGTAGAACTGCCATCAAGGAGTCACTGGGCCTCCGCTCCTTCCCGAGCCCGACTGCTCAAAGATTCCCCCTGCCACAAGGGGGTATACATTCGACGCAGCATGGCGACCCGCAAAAGAGAAAAGGAGCGTGAGTTGAAGGATCAGGCTAGGCAGCTGAATTAGAATCGTAGCTTTGAAGAGAGATTTGTTGTACACAAGGGTGAACTGGTGCTTGCCAGTTCATTGACCAACAACAATGTTGCTTCTCCTCAATCCGCATTTGGCTCACACCGCGTTTCTTCTGCAATGCAGGGAAACTGAATTGTGGGCAAGGAGATTCTTTACCATGTGTTTTTTTCAATGCTAGGTCTTTATTTAACATGTTGCAACTGTTCACCATTTTTTGACTACTGAACTCTCCAGTATTATTTTCATAACGGAAACATGGTTGTCTTCGAAAATAAGTGATGCTGAAACAGTTTCTGATTTGTCTTACATGGTTTTTCGGTCTGAAAGATTACGTAAGAAGGAGGGAGGAGCTTGCATATTGATCAAATCAACGCTATTATGTGAGAGCATTGTAACTGAAAGTAACTGCAGTTGTGAGATAAAGTTGGTTGATGTGTACCAACCTGGCACTCTCTCCAAAACCAGAGTCATATGCGTCTACCGACCTCCCAGCTCCGCCTCTGATTCAGATGATATGCTTGTTGACCTCCTCTTAGCTTCTATCCATTGTACTCCGAATATCCTGATCGCTGGTGATTTCAATTTTCCTATGAGATGCTCTGGAGACTCACTACAACATATTTCTCCACAAGTTCAAAAATTTTCTGAGTTTTTTCGCGACCTGGACCCTAAGCAATTCGTTACAGTACCCACTCGCGATGGTACCATTTTGGATTGGGTACTATCAACTACTAACTCAGCACACAAGCTATCAGTCAAGGCACCGTTTGGTCACACCCGATCACAATATCATTGAGTTCCTATATGAATTCCATAATCCAAAAAGTAAACTTATTCCATTTCCATTTTCACTAGAATTGATTTCGAAGCAGTGAAGCATGATCTCCACACTCTTGATTGGGAAGAGATTTTCTATCAGTATATTGGCCCCTCTGACGTATGCTACAGATTCTGCTGTGTTATGTATAATCTACTGGCCAATTTTACTCCAATTCGTGTACACAAAATTGGCTATTTACGATACTCGCCTCACATACAGTTACTTCTGCTCCAGAAGGAAACGCTTTTCAGAACTGCTCAATATAATTACCCATTGTATAGTAAGGTCTGCTCTGACGTAACATTCCACATCAAGAAATTCTTCTCTAATCACGAAAGACACCTGGCTTCGTCTAATCACTCAAAAAATCTCTTTTCTTACATCCATCATATGCAGCGCGCACAATATCACGGGGCCTTGAAGGATACGTTGGGCAATACTTTAACAAATCAGTCCAAGGCTTCCATTAGCCCAGTTTTTTGCGAATACGTTTTACAAAAGTACTCCTCGCACTAAAGGATTGGCTGCACCTCTGAACCATACCTGCTCAACACCTATGATCGTGCCTTCTACTGTCGAAAATTTTCTTAGAACCCTAAAACAATCTACATTTGAACCTTTTGATGGCATACCTCAGATTGTTTTCAAGCGTTGTACAAGAGAGCTTTCGGTCCCCTTGTCACGTATCCTTGATATTAGTTTCATTTGTGGAGAAATACAGGGCTTATTAAATGCAGTGCCGCTTAAATCAGCATTTCCAGTCCCGCGCTGGACTCTGCATACCTGCCGCAAACATGCTCTCTCTGATCACATTCCCAGGGCGAGCATGGGAAAAGCGGAGCCTCAATTGAATGGTAATGATTAGAGAGCATGTTCGCGGAAAAGACGCAGGGTCCAGCGCGGGATTGGAGATGCTGATGCAAGCGACGCTGCGTTTGATAAGTCCTGTACCTGACATCTGGAAAGAATCAATTGTCACTGCAGTTCCAAAAGTTCCCAACCCTCAATCTGTGACAGAATTCAGGCCTATAAGTACAAAATAGTACCGTGTAAAGTTCTGGAAAAGATAATTCGTGACAAACTTCTTTCTTGGCTGGAAAGGTTTGATCTCATTCCGGCTGAACAACATGGGTTTGTCAGCGGTCCATCCACTGTAACCCAACTAATAGATTGCAATCATGACTGGATTAAGGCATAACTTGATAAGAAGGTAGTGGACGTTATATGCTTCGATTTGTCGGAAGCTTTTCACCGTATAAATCATGGTAAATGTTATGTAAGCTTGAGCACTATGGTATCAGGGAACCCTTGTTGAGTGGCTAAAATCATATCTTACTCCAGATATATGACGGTTCGGGTGGGAAGAGATCATTCTGGACGTTTTCCTTGCCAAGCGGGCTTCCGCAGGGCGGGGCTCTTTCACCATTGCTATTTCTAGTCTATACTGCTGAGTTACCCCAAATTTTAAAAACTCACCTTGACATATATGTGCTCATAAATGCCGATGATTTCAAAATTTACGGCATATACGATAGGGATAACCAGAGGACAATTAAAGATGCCTGCAGCGTGATATCAATAACTTTGAATGGTACAAAGATTGGGACATTCCAGTGAATATAATAAAAGCCTTGTATTCCATGTGGTTCTGCTGCAAATGATGAACACTATGAGCATGCGGGAGTTTCTCTAGCTAACAAAACATCTATCAAAGACTTAGGTGTTGTATATTCGATAGCACCTTGAGACCAGACTTGCAAATTTCAAACATCACCACTCGCGCATTCTCAATTTTTTACACCATCTTTTGCAATATAAGAGCAGCTGATCCCAAAATTTTACTGAAACTTTATAAGGCATGGTCATCCCTACTGTAGAGTATGCAAGTCAGGTTTGGAGTCCTTTTCTGAGAAAGCATAAGCTGGCCCTGGAGAACGTTCCAGAAGGTTTCATTCGTTTGCTCTTCTATAGATGCTGTCCCAGTCGTGGTTACCCACGATCGTCAAGCTATGATGAACGAATGAAAGTCCTAGGCCTCAAAAGTCTTCTACATCCCAGGATCGTGCATGATATAATACTTGATTTCAGGATTTTCAAAGGCGAGACTAAACTGAGGCTTTCTAAATACTGGGTGTTCAGGCCTAGTCACGGAAGGAATACTGGTTTCTGTTTATCTACATCTAAATGGTAGGCGTAAACAGCTAAACTCTTTATCAAAAAACAGTTTTTTTTGCACGCACTTCAAATTATCTCCAGTGTTTACCTAAAGAAATTCTGTCTTCTCCAGAAAGCCTTACTTTTAAACGTAGACTCAAGAAGTTGAATTTGATTGATTTTCTTCCAGATGACTGCTTCTCGTTATCGTTCGTATAATGCTGCCGTTTGCCTGCCGTACTTTTCCTACGCTCGCTGCCTCGCATGTCGCTTGGCCTGCTCCAGTACTATGAAGTGACTAACTCTATCAATTTCCCACTTATCGCGTAGAAGGGCTCCTAGTGATAACTTCTCAGATACTGCATATGCGGTCGTTGAAACTTGAACTCACTTATTGGTTCGATCATTACTTTACATGTTGCTTCGGGTCCGGTTCTAGCTTGTTAGGCTTGTTCATCTTTTCATTATCATAACTTATAATAACGGGCTAAGGGTGTTTACGTGACTTTGTGTGTGTGTGTGTGTGTGTGTGTGTGTGTGTGTGTGTGTGTGTGTGTGTGTGTGTGTGTGTGTGTGTGTGTGTGTGTGTGTGTGTGTGTGTGTGTGTGTGTGTGTGTGTGTGTGTGTGTGTGTGTGTGTGTGTGTGTGTGTGTGTGTGTGTGTGTGTGTGTGTGTGTGTGTGTGTGTGTGTGTGTGTGTGTGTGTGTGTGTGTGTGTGTGTGTGTGTGTGTGTGTGTGTGTCCGTCTCTCTGTAACGAAATTCATAGAGCGAGTTCCAGCCAATGTCCTGAGCCCAAATTTTGCACAGCGCATGCTACCAGCGTAGAACTTCACCGTACAAAATCACGAGCAGATTTGTTGGGTAGATTCATCAGAATTTGCGAGTCAGACGGATCCACTTGGCCTCTGGCCCGCAAAATTGGGTCTGTATCAACGCTTTTTGCAAAGTCGTGGATGAGTTTGGCATGTTGATGTGCAAGACATGGACTTAAGGCAAAAAGGGACCAAAGGTCTATTACTATACCAGAACGACGCCAAAAAGAAATGGTTGCGCAAATGGTCAATCCGCCGTGTCTTTACCTGACCATTTGAGAGGATTTTTGCATAGAAATGTAGCTCACGGTAATTGTTGTCCTTATGGCGACTACCAAGCCAAAAGAAGTTCAAAAACCTAACCGAATTTGCATTTGTTCTTCTGCGAAAAATTCCATCCACGCGAAATTACCGATCTCACATGAAAAACCCTCTGAAATGAGTAGTTGTTTACATTTCATTCGTGGTAGTCGTCATTGCACTGTGAGTTTTAAAGACATCATTAGGCGAGAACAAGTAAAGCATATAAAGCAAGACCAGTGCGAGCCTCTGCGAAGCAGGGGTGACGCACTGGTATTTTATAATCTCTTATCTCGGAGTTCTGTTCTCTCCCCAGAATCAGTCGGGCAAATTTGTCAACATATACGGTCCCGCAAATACAGTTGCTTCAGTTGAATAATCTAACAAGGGAAGCTCGTTTAGTCGAAGTGGCCTCTCT